GACTAACAGGAAGGGGAGATGGTGATAACTTCATTAAGCATGTTGAGTTCAAGTACTAAGCCACAATTCCTGCAGAGCAAGCAACAGTTCCAAAGTCAGTGTGGATCTTGTATGCATTCAGCAAAATTATAAGAATAATGAATATTAGTCTTATCAGTCATATTTATGCACTACTGTCACAGTGTAAGCATCCGGGCAAAGTACTGAGCACGTGGTACTTGAAGGCAGTGAAAAGACATGTTCCACAAAACACTTCAGGTACTGCTCAGCGTATCCTCTAGCTGATGGGGACACAACACGGGCAGATCCTGCACTGACGTTCTGATGAGAAGTTATTATAAAGCCTGAACAGCAATGGCTACAGCTAAAATTTCAAGAACAGTCTGAAAGAACATATTGTAAGTGCTAAAAAGTTAAATAGAGGCAAAGATTGTGTTCTCCCCCAAACTAGACTACACAGGTACCGTGTTCACTGCAACTTCAACTACCTTGGCATGACTGCATGGTCTTTAGAAGTCAGAACTCTTCACAAAATTTTGTTTTAAAAGCCCCATTATCACCAGAAACACTGGTATGAAGTGTATGAAGTTTCTGAGATCCAAGCTTTTAACAGACAACTTCGAGATTCTGTGCTGGACCGGATACAAGACCATATATCCACAAGGTAACAGAAAAAAGAGCTTTAAACTCTCCTATGAGCCACTACATCTGTTACTGATATGCAGGTATCACTGTCATATAAAATGCTATGCTTTATTTGGCATAAGAGCATCAAAACTGCAGAGCATACTTAGCGCCAGACCAAAAATGAGACTGCAAAAACATACCTAGGATTATTTTTTGCTTGCCAGAGACTGTTGATCAGGCAGCAGATACTCTCCAGCACTACTCTAGGACTGCTGAACTAATAAAAAGCAGCTTTCTACAATGTTTAAGCACCAAGAAATCCGGGTCATCAGTTAGAGTGCAGGTTCAGCACAAAAAAGCACCCAGGAAAAAGGCATTTTCAAGAGGAATTTTGTCACTGCTTAGGTTCTCAGACTGAAATCTGCAATCAGCCAGAACAAGCAGAGAACTGGGGGTGACCACAGCTCATTTCTTCTGGTTCCAGATTCACATAACAATCACTTGACTCAGTATGAAGGTTAAAGTGAGATTTGCTAATGCCAGCGGCTTCTTCTCCATTGGGGAACAGTTTTGACTCTTGCTCCCAGAGTAAGAACTCACACATTTTGCACTGTCCTTGACGGCAAAGATATTTATGAAGCATCTTCCATTATTCACTTCAAAATTTGTTGTATCACATGGGAATGCACAATATTTTGTGACTTACCTGTTTGCATGAATACGTGAAGAATACATGCTGCTTTTTTGTCAGGACAGCACATGGTATTTTAAATACCTTGACAGTAGAATACTTCACTGAGAAAACACTTACTATATAGATCAGTTTGGTAACTAACAAGATTCAGGAAAATGTATGTGCAAATACATTCTGATGATCAGGTTCCTTGCATCCACTGGTTTATTTCCATGTGTTGCTCAGTTTGCTCCTGATCACTAATATTTATATTTTTCACAGAGCTGAGGCAACAGGGCAGGAGCTTTAGTACTCAGTATTTTGCAAGGAACTACACTAGAAGTGCCAGTGAGAGAGTCAGAGCTCTGTATTGACATGTACATCAAGACAAACCCATAAATTAAATGGCTCTCTCACTAACAGTAATAGCAACACCAGAAGACAAATTTCTCTTCCACGCAGTCTTTTATCCGAAATTTACTGGTCCGTATGAAAACTTTCTTCTTTGACCAAGATTTCGCAGTTTGCTAGGACACTTACAAAAGACAGCACAACTAGAATTTCATCAGTCAGACAGTGCTAGCATAAGGCATTTTGTAAATAGCTTTGGCTGCCTTAGAAAATGCTTAAAAGGACACTTTGTGTACAAATTATGATTTAGTCTCATTAGTTTACACTTTTAGGCTGTGTAGACAGTGGCTCAGAAGCGTGCTTGCCTGCAAGCTAGCCTTGGACATAAAGAGATGAAAGCAATCATCATCCTGAATTTGAGGCAGTGTACTGAGGCCATCAGTATGGTCCCCGAAGGAAGGAAAGCAGTAACAGGAATGGAAAGAACTCAGCATGGTAACTTTAAGCTCTCATATCCCTACACTTTCATTTTTCTTAGTATGTACCAAAGTTGAGAGGCTAACTTCTAAGTGTTAGCTCTAGTTTATGCTAATCCAATATCCAAGAAAAAACTGCTCCTTTTTATTGTTCTATTCTGACACCTATTCTCCTGCTGCTGCAAGGGATCTACAACCATTGCTATCTCTGAAATGCCCCTAAGTCCAACATACCAGGAGCCTTGTCTATTCAGCTGCTGAGCCATATTTACAGAATATAAAGGCAAAATCTCGAATGCTGCCAGAACCTTCAAGGAAGCAAATCTTTAAAAGCCATACAGCATGCTGTATTACAACCAACTACTAAACTACAGGGGTTAATAAAAATTCTAAGATCCCTACAAGTAACATTGCACTGCTTTGATAAGGCTTTCATACTTATATACTGCCAATATTGCTTCCAGGACATATTGACAAACATATGCAAGGCCTCCAGACTTACAGCCACTATACAGTGATGTGATGACCAGAATATAGCTACCTCTGTGCTAGAGTGAACAGCTGGAATACCTGAACTTCACCAGAAGCTGAGGGGGGCAATATGACCAAGTAAAGTCACAAGCTGCCAAGCCTATTTCCTCTTCCTCACCACACGTAAGCTGACTTCTATTATATTGATAGGCAGATCTCAGAAAGGTCAAAGTGCAGTTGATCACTAGTACCAGTGAAACTTTAGCAGCAAATTGAAAAGCAAAAACACTATCAGGTCCCTCTAATTTCACAGCTAGGATCTTGTAGTTGACACACAGCAAAAAGATATTCTGCAGTCATGCAAAATACATCTCCAGAAACAGTGTCTTGACACTGACCTTGTGCTTAAGGTTAACAGTGACATCATAGTGATGAATATTTTACCATTAAAATAAAACCTTAATTATTGGAAGAGATGAGTAAATCGTCAATCTAGGATATCCCTGTCTCCTAAATTTTCTTTATAATCTGTACCTTGCTTTCAGTCTTCAGTATCAGAGATGTTCAGAAGATTTAACTTTAAATTAATACAGAATCATTCCCCAAGAACAATCCTTCCACAAGATCAGAGCTAACACTACATACAACCCTACAGCAACGAGATGCACCATATCCATATTCCCTTGTTCTGAAGCTGGTACCAAAGTTCATCCTACCTCCTTGCAGCACACCAGAAGTTTTTGTACAAATACCAGTTGTCACACATGCTAGACATTCCTTTTCTAGAACCTGGGCATAGTATTATGCCAGATAGCCTCTTCCACTCTGGCAGAATTGGCATCTCTTCCTGAATCAGGTGTAGCTCAGGACTGCTCAACCAGAACTCTGTCATCCTCACATATCCAAGCGTAAGTAGGATGGACTCATCAGTTATTTGTCAGAAACCTGCCATTCTGTTTCAAATTAAGATAACATGCTGGCAGTCTACGAACGACATAATGCCAATAAACAACCAGGGCTTAAACTAGGGTCCGTCACAAACACATGGGCATAAGCCTTTTTATTTTGTTAAAAAGGGTAGCATTTCCATTTACTTTATGGATGCTCAAATTGATTGCAGGTCTTTCTTGTTGAGAGCTTCCTTTTCACTCTTCATTAATTTCTCTGGCATCAGACAATGAAGTTTTATCTTTAACGTCAGGCAAAAAGGGACTAAGGGGAAGTCATAACCACTCTCCACCCGCTACATCAAGAGTGCACAATATTAAGCAAATATTTGCACTTTCTCATAAAAAACTTACTATAGCAATATCTTTCTCACTGACATACTCAAACCAGGAGCATGGCTATTAGTATCACTGGCAAGCATCATGCTGTTCTTTTTCCATTAGCCAAATGGTGCCGTTACAGCATTTACCATATTTACTGGAGGTGGAGTGAAAAGACAATTCAACACAGAAAATTCAGTAGTGTAAAGGAATTACAGAAAGTAACCAGAATACATAAAGAATGTATTTGTCCCTTGAAAATTATTAAATTTTTATCAAATACAATTCCCAACTTTTAATTCCATATTTGACTAGTTTTTGAAAGCAGTAAAGAAATAGGTACATCCAGTTATTCACTACTGTAGTTAACTGGATATTACAACTTGCCTCCGTCAATACCTCTACCTAACATAGAATGCTTCAGTGGATTTATAAAAAGCACCTCATGCTATGCAATGCAATTTTGTGCTTTAAAATTTGCACTGCCCAATTCTGTGTTGATTTAACTCCCTACTGAAACAAAACCACCTTATAGAATCTCAAGAGTCTGGGAACATACCTAAGGAGACTACACAGTCATCTCTTCCAGGAAGTTACAATAAAGCCCAACAATTGCTTTCAAATTGTGCTTTTAAACAAGGAAGCAGACAGCAAGACTTCACGTATGAGGGCCCTATTACCATTAAAACATGAACTGACTGCTTGGCTGAAAATAGTAAGGGATATTATTCACCTTCACAGCACGGTATGATGTCCACATTCAATTTGGGGTGTGGGGAAAAAGGACCAGGATTTGACAGTGGGAGATTCTGTTTGATGGTAAGATTTATGAAAATATATTTCTATTCTTCTACTCAATTCGCTACTGTTAACTCGTGTTTTTATATTCTATTACATCTAACTACTACCATAAAGGGTACCGAAGATTTAGGATGGAATTAAGACCCATTTAACAAAAAAAAAATTTCGTGTCAGAAATTTTGATTTCAGTAGTTTTTCTGAGCAGGGGAAGTTATTAATTTGCTGTAGCAGCTCAGGGATAGTATCACATTAACTACTGTTGTATCAGTTGAGGCTTTGAAGAGTATGATAAATGCTTCTTATTAGTTTAACACATTAGAAGAAAAAGCTTACAATGTCACTGCCGGAGAGTGATGATACAGAAGAGGCTGATGAGCCAGAGGATAACTGCTGTGTACTAGCCAAAGACAAAGCCAAGCGTTGGTTGTAAGATGGTTCAGAGTCTCTGTTCTGTTGCTGTTCTCCATTGCACGGAGCTATCTGGTCTCTTATTTTCAACCTATTATCTGTTAACAAAAAACATAAGTATCACTTAAGAGCACAAAATAAAAACACATGGGCCTTGAAGTCTAAGAAGACCTGCAGTTTAACAAGCTAATTGAAAAAGAGGCTCAGAGAAAGCTAGTCTTGGGTTAGCAAGTTACAAATTCTTTTCATTTTTTCCTACACATCTGAAAGTGATTAAATTCAAGGCATGAGTATTCTGAATTACATCAAATTCAAGAAAAAAATTTAAGTTGATTTCAAAGATTCCTGCTATACCTACCAAGTTCAGGTGACAAATTAATTTTGCTCCCCCACTTCTTTTTAATCCAGGCCCTGTAGTCAATCACTTCTTGGGTCACTTTGATGATTCTACCTAATGTGCTAAAAAAATTTTTCAATTAAGTATTAAACAAAGACTGTTGTTACATACTTGCAAGCATTTCAACAAGCAATCAAATTATGCTAAAAGTCAGTTTAAGATATCCCTACCCAAAGAATCCTTTTGAACTTTCATTTCCTTAGCATACCAGCTAACCTACTGAAGCATCATAGTTTTTAAAGAAGTATACTAATCTTCTACCATACTATCATGCAAACACTGACACATAGGTAAGGCTTTTACTCTATTTCTAAATGCAGTGCATCTTAATTATCAAGAATGTATATGCATATACCAGTGTACTTCATAAAAGCAATATACAAGTTCTTTCATTTCTGCATAAAGAAAATATTTTTTCCACAGAATCTGGATTAGAACAGTTATGGGATGCACTGAAGACATCAACATCCTAGGCCCCTACCTGACCTCCAGGCTGAAGACTAAGACCTTCACTAATCCTGGCTTACAGATTTACAGTACAACTTAAAATGCGTAAGATCCCCACAATTATAAAGGAAGTACCATGGATCGTGAGGTAGTGGAAACAACAAACAGACTGGCTCCAAAACCAGAATAAGTTAGAATTTAAAAAAAATACTTACAAGTAATTGGTTCAGAGAAAAAGCCTAACCAGTCCTGTGACCAGTTAACAAGTACAAAGCAATATTTTTCCAATATACCTACCCAATATTCAGCTATCTGAATTGTACTTCTCGGGCAGGAGTTGTGTCCTTGTTTGAAAGCTAAACTTTTAAGCTTTCATTTCATCCGGGACTAGTGGCTGAAACACTAACTATAAACTACACACTCAAGATACGTGAAGGACTGACTATTGTACAAAAAGGGGCTGTGAGAAGTTATCATCTTGGAGAAAGTAATGTTATTTCAGTTTTGAAAATCTTCAACACTTACAGTAAAGCTTATTTTGTATTTCATATCACAAAGGTACATTGTACCTACACTGGAATTTTCTTTTAGTTTAGGTGTATAATGGAAAGGGACAACATACACAGCCTAAACGTATTTAGACTACCTTTATTAGGTCATTTCACAATAACACTTTAAAACAAGAAGCAATAATTCTCCTGCTGTCTTAGGGATTACTATTTCATGCAAGATCAAAAACCACATGTTCCATGTTTAGTCTTGCAACTTTAAAGACGTGTCAGTGTGTTAGTATCAAAAAAGACAGTTCAGTATTTTAAGCAAACATTGATCTCAACAATATCATCTAAATTATAAGTCCAATAGCTGCAGAAGGGCCCCATGGACAGAATGAATGTCATCCATCATTCTACTTATGTAATGTAGATAAAATGATGCATGGTTAGAAAACAAAATCTTGACTTTACACGCAGAATTAAAGGTGTGATTTTCATCACTCAGCAACTAAAGATCTGGATTATAATATCAATTCTTTGGAAACTGCAGTTCCACAGCTAAGGAGAGTGCATTAAGACAGGTACAAAGAAAACACAGGATAGTATTTTGTCAATGTACACTCCCACGACATAGCGGCATTTTAAATACTTGATGCAATTCTGGTTTCTCAATCTCAAAACGGAATTTAAGACAGAGGAGACAGAATGAAGACAGGGATGACCAATACTGCAGACAACCAGCTGTGGCCCTGAAGTTGCAGTTCCCAATACAGCAATATCAGTATGGGAGTCAAACTTACACATGCTGGATCTCTCCAGCACTGGGACAGAGAAGGAAATCTTGCAGCTAAAAAGCTTAATTCGGGAATGCCTTTAGAAAGATTTCAGTTTTTACTCCAGGATAACCTATAAATTTCATAACTACTACCAGTTGTGGTCTTAGAACCAGAAAATGAACATGGGCTAACACTAGCTCTTAGCAAGGAGGAGTCTGCCAAGTCTGAAGCTTCTTGAAGTCCTTCCCCCAGAAGCAGATCAATAGTCATGCCTTCGTATATCAGAAGGAAAAATGAATAATACAGGATGGTATTTTTATCAGCCTGGGTGACTGATACACCAAAAATGTCTGCTCCCAAATAGATGTAAAGGGTGAAACTACTGCTACACCACCAATAATGGCAGAGGTGCACATGCAGAACCTGGGAATCCCTCTTCTCACTAGGTCCTTTCACAAAGAATAGATATCAAAGCCTCAAACTCTCATTTTTGGTAGAAAGGTAAAAAAAAAGAAATTCATGAAGTCATCAGGTCAGGAGTCAAACAGCAGATCCATGCCACACTGCTGGTACACCAAAATTAAAAATATTTGTTACAAGACATCAAAAACTGAAAGAGGACTAAGGCTATACTGCCATATACTTTATATAGCAGCAAAGAGGAAGCAAGTGTGATCAAACTAGATACTGCTCTCAAAGAACACCATTGCGTATGCATGGGACTCAAGCACATCCACGAGGTCAGGATAATTTTTTTAAAGTAAACATTTAAAAATTGTGCTTATATCTGTTTTCGATATTGAAAATGCTTAGGAACAAAAACCCCATTAATCTGCCCTGCCTTTGATACGAGAAAGTTTCATGCTTTTGGGGTTGTTTTTTTTTTGGCTGAGGCCAGAATTTTTACAGATATGAGACAAAAGATGCTTGTTTGGAAGACATAGAAACAATACAGTTAACTTGACAATAAAATTAGACAGCTCTCCTATGAAAGATGTCCCTTTAAGGGTTTTCTCTTGATGTTATCATACAGTAAAACCAGGAATAAGCTATTTACATACCTAGTTTATTTTGGAAGAGCTTAGATGTTCCTCCTTTTACATACTTCAAGCCCTCAGTTCACAGGGACACTTTCTAGCTGTCATTACAGCAGAACTGTGGTGCAATTAAATCTTAAGATCACTCTTAAAAGGCTCAGATTGCTGACATAAGATTCAGTAAAATCAAATATCTAAAGCTCCAGCCAAGCTCCACACAAACGAGCGAGTACCAGCGCAGGAAAAAACATCAAGTCTGTGAAAGAACAGTCAAAATAACTGTTCAGTAGGCCTTAGCTGAACTTAAGGAACTATCCCCCAGCATTAAAAAGGCAATATAATCTAAAAGCAGACTAAGCAGCACCTGAGAAGAATCCACTTGAACATGAGGATAAAAAAAAAAATCTAAAACCTTTGCCCAGACAAATACTTTGCGTAGGAAAAGCTGATACTGCTGATACCTCTCAAGAAAAAGCATGCACTCTAGTGACAGCCCCCCACCACTCACGATGTGAGGCGAAGGAAGGACTGTTTCAGACAGCACATTTCGGCTTTCTGTGTCAGCAGATCTAGCAGGCAAGTTTAACATTCCCTTTGACAGCTCTCAAGACTATCGTGGCCAGCCAGAGGCAATCCAAACCTAACATACAGACCTGTCAGCAGCTAGATCAGTCGAACTGTACACTAGGAAGAGACCACACAGCTTTCAAGCACAGAGATGGAAAAATCACTCTATGTATGGCCCAGACAACTGTTCAAGATTACCACGTGTAAGTGACATCTCCACACATGCAGTAGCAAAACCCTGCCAAAGTTTCCTCAAACTCTGAACTCCGGCCTGTTGGCATAACAGTCTCTCTCCCTCATCCACCTGTACCATGTGTCTGGCACCACTGAGGAGGAACCCGTTATCTATTTGCAACTCTTGGAACTGAAGAAAGGTTTCGAAAGTCTTAGTTACACTGGAAGGGCACATCACAGCAAAAACCGTCTTCCACTCCTCATTTCATATGACCTTGTCTGCCTTCCACATGTGGCTACGCTGCTGTTTAGAGATGCAGTCTGAGCACACATTCGTATCTGAACCATGCGACAGGCCAACACGTCAGCAAACATCCTGATCTACAGACATACATATTAGCCTAAGGATGCACCTTTGTCACACCCATATCAGCACAACTTACTGCTGTCATATAGTACAATACCGCTCTTTCCTTCTTCCCCCAAAACGTGATTCCCCTGTTGCTTCTCTTGCTTCTGATCTGGCCACAAGCTGGATCAACTTCTTAAGACAGAAACGTTAATCTGTTTTCAGTCAGAACAGAGAGTTCATCCAACTCACTTTCTGACTGCAGGATCACTAGATCTGATCCAAGGCAAAAGTTAGGAACATACAGAGAAGGAAGAAAAAGGGCAGCTGACAGGAGATAGCCCACATATAGTTAAGCTAGACAAGGTATAATGTGAAACTGCACATTAATATAGAGACAATGTAGTAACAGATAGTCCACTATTTCAAAGAACATTAATCAATGAGCAAGAGCTTGTTCCCAAACATCTGCCAACGTTTCCTGTAGTTTATCATGCAACAGATTAATACTGGGAAAATGGTCACTAACTTGAAACTTCGTGTTCAAAGAACAGCAAGGAAGCTGGTGAAGGGTCTAGAGAACAAGTGCTATGAGAAGCAGCCAAAGAACTGGGGTTCCTTAGTCTGGAGAAAAGGAGGCTCAGGGGACACCTTTTCGCTCTCTACAACTACCTGAAAAGGTGGTTGCAGCAAGGTGGGTGTTGGTCTCTTCTCCCAAGTTACAAGTGATAGGACAAGAGTACATGGCCTTCAGTTGTGCCAGGGGAGATTTACATTAGATACTAGGAAAAATTTCTTCAGCAAAAGGGTTTTCAAGTACTAGAACAGGCTGCCCAGGGAAATAGTTGAATCATCATCCCTGGAGGTATTTAAAAGACGTGTAGATACGGTGCTTAGGGACATGGTTTAGTGGTGGACTTGGGAGTGTTAGGTTAACAGCTGGACGATTCCAACCTAAGTGATCCTATGAAAATATCACTTCTTAGACATCTTTAGTTAGCTCACTTAAGATGACACACACTTCCCTAGAGACAGGCTATGGCCAAAGACCATACCAAAGCTGTTAAAAGCACATACTGACACTGACCCTTAAGGAGGAACTATCCTGTCCATAACTACATTTTACAGCTAGACTGATGTCCCCATGGCCCCAAATATTAAGAAATCAATCGTGATTTTCAGCCACCTTGGCTGAGATCACAACACCAAACCTGACCTCACATACAAGTTGTACAGATTCAAAATGGATCAGTCTCCTCATTTCCCTACTAGGAAAACCTCTCCTGCCAAGATGATAGGAATCTGTTCACATTAACAAAACCTACTGAAGTGTCTATCAAGCTCTCCTGAGTCATTCTTGAAAAAGGATGGATGATATAGACTGGGGACAAAACAGTGTTAAAGTAATTTCTGCAGCTGTAAGAATTACCTTCAAGACTCAGCTCATTACTGTTTTCACTCTGAAAGAAGGTACTTTCAACTCCCACTACACTCCAGATGTTCTATTTGGAAGCCTGAATGAAGATGCTGGTAAGAGGGATTTCAATCTACCCCCTTACTATTCTGTGGGACTTCTTACTACAGAACACAGGACAGAAAAAGGCCTATGCTGAAGGACCAAAATTTGACTTCTTTCACACTGGGAATATCAGAAGCAGCAACTGTCTAGAAAGCGTCAAATTAACTTACGTTTGTGCTCCTTTGAATTATACTGACCCTGAAAAAGAGCAGTAACAATGATCACCCAGAAAGATTTGAAATCTGCTGAGATTGTCATCTACGGAAGAGGACTCTGTTCACAGAAATTATCCCTGGAAAGAGCCAATACGCATTTAAACCTATCATATAGTTCAAGAACAACCAGTTCCACTTAGGGGAAAGCTAGCCCCAGTTATGACAAAACTGAATAAGCTCAAGCAAGCTTGGAGATTTCAGCCTCCCGCAAGTTCCTACCCTTTCAAGTGCTCTTCATTTAGTCTCTGTTGATCCTTCTAGTAGAATGTCATATAGCTAGTCGCTGCTCTTAAAGGGAAACCATTGTTCACTGTTTAACCTACCACTAAAAAGCCTAGAAAAGGGAAAAAAATGGATCAGTACTAAGGGCTGCTGGATGACTAAGGCTTTAGGTCAGGCCACTGGAAAAGTCTTTATACAGAGTCTGGACCACCCTGCCTAACAGGTGGAAGAAGGATCTGAAATACACCTGGATTGCCCAAGCACATCAGTTTTAACTAAAAACTGAGACTGAACACAGACTGCTGTTGAAGTTCTGCAACTTGATACCCAACAGCTCATCATGCACCAACAGGTCCTTTGGCACTGATAAGACTGGTGCTGGGGGAACTACTTGCATACAGGACTCTGTTGAATGCTGTTCCTCTTGCGACACCCTCCCTTTGACACAACAGCAAGCCACTGCCATGGTAAGTTCTGAGACTCAGGCATCACTGGCACAGACAGTCCAGAACCAGCAGAAAGACAGTTCAGATGTTTGACACCTGAACACTGCTGCTGGGACTTCTCCCCAGATTTGAAGCTGCAACAAAACTCAAACATTTTCCCAAATACAATAACAAGTGTACATGTCAAGTCTACATATTGATGATATCCGAGGCTTCCATTAAATGCATTTACAAATATACTTATTGATGTCCGGAATAAATACAGGTACTTCATAAGAGAATGACTATATCCTTTAGAGAGCACAGAAACGTTAATGAAGGCCAGGACCCAAGACACAAGCAAAACTTCAGGAATCCTTAAGTTGTTCTATCTATACTTACATAAGAATGAAGTTACATTCAGCAACAAGAATTGTCAGCCAGTACACATTTAATAGATACACCTTTAATCTATCTTAAAAGAGCAGTCTCAAATGTCAGTGTGCAGCACTACGTACCACTCTTCGTGTATTCCATCACAGGCACAAGTACAGTCTCAACCTTTATGAAGTTAATACCACAAAAAACCTAGAGATTCACAGGGACTACTAAAATACGGTCAGTTTTAAATCCACAAGTGAAAGACTGCATCCACTTTGTGTTAAACTTACTACAGGAGAACTATTTCACCTTCCAATCACATTAATGCTGGCAGTTAACAGCTTGACTAGAGTTTGGAATTCTATCTACATTGTTTATGAGACTTGTTACAATGATCGCTCCCTGCAGTTAGCTGGGGAGGTCAAAGCCATTGTGATTCTAGGGAAGTCTCTAGGAAGAGATATCCTCTGATCTAGCCCCAATTTGTACTGAGGGTTAGAATAACAGATGCTCCTCTTTCAAAATACACGAAACTTGCAAAGGTGAGAGCTAAGTACTAGCTGTACAGTGTTTCTATGAAAGACATTAGGAACTACATTAAAAATGGAATGTCTAGAAGTATGCTACTTTTAAAGGCAGTTCTGACATAAAAGAATCCGTTCAGTTTGGCTGTAAATAGCTCAATTATTAATTAATAATTTTTCCATATCTTTTCAAAGACCTTATGGGAGCACGAATTAAAAAACTACGGAAACTTCTACCCCTGTTGTCCAGTTTTGTGTCTAAACAAGCAATTTGATCACACACATTTCTTTCTGCCACAGTGCGGACATACATCATATCAAACATTAAACCAGCAGACCCCTCTTTGAAATACTTTAAGTAGAATGTTTGAGGAAAGACCAATTATCTTCTGGCTCCCTTCCACACTTAAGAGAACCTCACATTGGACTCATCCTGGGTTTTGTCACGCTATCTTCATTTTAATGCTGCACATTGAGGTATTACACTCACACCACGCTTAGGGTAGCCTAAATTTCTAGGCAGATTTCAATACAGCCACAGTTAAACAATAAATAACAATATTCCGTTTATTGATTTTAGACCCAAACATTCCTAATTGATTACACAGACAAATGGATAGTCAAAAAGTGGACTAATTACCTCTCAGAATCTCTATTTGGATATGATCTTGCAAGTGGTGATACTGCATGGCTAAGAACAATGTAGGCATAATCAAAAACTTGTTTCACTTGCATGGCACCGTAAGAACTTCTGCCAACGTCGTTTCCTGAAATAATGTGACAGTCATCAGATCATCGTTTTTTAATACCAGTAACCAGAAAATTATTCATACTTAAAGCTCAGAAGCCTTAACAATACAGCTTAACTCTGTTTAAACTGGTTAGCTCATCCTATTCGTATCAGGAACAACTAAGTGTGCCTATCTCAATGAAAAAAGCTAACCTTAAGAATGACACTTCACATTATGCATTCAATTTACCACTTTTAAAAAACCAATGTACCAGTGCCCGAAAGAAACAGAGAACAGAGATCAGCTTAAAGCTCTCATGGCTGTCTTAAGAGGGAACCTATCAAGCCTAAAAGTATCATGTGTCACTTACCAGTAGAGTTTCTGCAGGCCAAGTTCAGCTTAAAATTCCACTTGTGCAACCACATTATCTTCATAGGGCCAGGTATACTTACATCAACTCCTACTTAACCTTATCAAAGCTACAGATTAACAGACCAGCTCATACAGATTATTCATCTCCACAGGATAAACCAGTTTGACAAAATCTATGACAAAGAATTCCAGAAGTTTGTACAGCATTGTTTTTTGATCAACTTGGTGGCACTTCTTGACTGCCCCTCTTGAAGCATGAAGGACAATTACAGCAGAACTCCTTCCAAATCCAGTGCCATGTGTGAGGAAACACAGAATCTAAGCACATGCTAAAGCTTCTGTATACCAGTGACAATGTATAAGCATTGGTCTCCTATTTGACATCTAGAAAGATTCTGCTAGTACTAGCAAGAAGAAACATTTGGGGGTTTTTTTGTAGATATATTTGGCACCAGACACCAAAGGCTCACTGTCACCACTCAATTTAAGAAACAACGAAAACTTCCTTCAAACTGCACTTCCAAAATACAGACTAGATCTTGAGTGGGTAGAAAGCTTCTTACTGTAAAAGGTTCCCTCCTTCAGAATGATGCTTGAAATGCTGTGAGAACACTGGAAAGGGATGAACCACCAAACATGTTTATTTCAAGCTTGAAAATCAGATCAGGGCCCGTGAACAGGTTTTAATGAAAAATCTGCTTTGAAAATTGATGGGTAAAGGACAGAACCTATCCTTTGGAGGACTGAATCCAATGAGGCTGAAATTGACTTTAGAGGATCCAGTCACTCAAGTATTTTGTCCAGCGAGCCATTATAGACAAACATGCTGAGGTTTGCCATCTGGGGGGGAAACCCTTGGCTTTACTACTTGACAACACATTTTCATCCTTCAAGAGTATTTTGGGAACACAAAATATCTTCAGTAATTTCTGTGATCAAATAAAAGCTGATCAAGAAATACCTCCTGTTTACTGAAGAAACTGAGTATCTTGTTCCGACTATATTACTGCACTATCCAGCAGCTACTACGCTCAAAATTACAGAAGCATCTGAGCGGCATGTTTGCCATTGGACTCTATCCTGAAGTAGAAGCAGAGATCAACGTGGGCCTAGGACAGAGAATCTAGGAAGAAACACATTGCAGTCAAGTTCAGAGCTGCACTACAAAGTAGCAGAGGACTTCACACAGGACCTAGTCCAAAGGCATCTGAAGAAAGACCATGGTATTTCAGTGGTCAAGAAATCAGAACACAACAATATTAATTCTACTAGAAAAACAAAGATTAATTCAGTACAGGTTTTCCAGGGGCAGGAGACATTGTTGTGTCCTGCAACAATGCCACCTTCTACATAATGATATGCTAAACCTATATACAAAAGAGAATTGAGAAGTAATACAGAAGTGGCACATATACACGTGGCTAAACACACACAGTTGCACCTACCACTAAATTAGAGTCCATCTACAGCTGGACTTCATGATCTTAAGGGTCTTTTCCAACCTACATGACTCTATGATTCTATAAATTCATATAACGAGAATTAAGAATAAACACTCAATCAAGTTGCATTAGTTCAGTCTAATCTGGTGCTAAGACAGCTACATTTGATGTGCATCCTGCACGGAGCTACACCAAAATGAAGACACTGCTGTTATAAACTCTTGGTTACTCTTTGTCAGTTGTTGCCACATCCACTGTTGTGCTAGCAAAAGAAATTGTAAGCCTTCCCCAATCCACTTACAGTAAGCTCAGGCAGTTTAGTTTAAACCACCAACGAAGTTGTGTATGAGTCATGATTGAAGCAGATTTGAGAACAGAGGCAGGACAGCCCATGCCATAGCATGCCTAGGTTCCTGGATTGCCTCATTCTGCACCTGTAATTAGTTCATAAAAATGTCTGAATAAACAATCTTAAGCAATTATACAGTCTGCAGAACTTCGGACTTGTACTGCAGCTGAAAAGCGGGTATCGAAGCCAAAGCTACTACGCAAGCTGCTATGAACTGTACCAGTCAAGTCTGTATAGCAGTGGCCCTACCCAATCCAGAAAGCAATACGTTAGAGAAGCCAGAAGATCATGTATTTGCACTTCCTGCCCCCAAGAGATTTTCTCCTGAGAGACTGTTCTCACTAACAGTTCACGTCTTACATACCTGAGCATCCTTTTGTCACAATCTACAGACTTATCAGTTAAAGCACATAACCGAAATGCTCTCACTCTTTAAAAAAATCATACAGACTTCAATTCCTGGATGTGCATCAGTAGATAACAATGGTGTGTGATTTCGTGTATAATTCAGTTCTCCTCCTTTCTTACAGAGCCTTCATCCCTAAAGGAACATATCTAAGATTTCCATCACTTGCTATCATTACTACCACTCTGTCAGGTAGCCTTCCATTACCTGAAGCAGTTTTAAGAACATTGCCTGGAAAGGTAGAGGTAAGAGCATGAGCTAGGACTGAAGCAGATCCATTTATCTTAAGCTGTTATCTAGTGAGTACCTTTTTTGCAACATTCAGCATTAAACAGGTTCTTTCAGATGCTAACTTCAATGTATTTGTGTATTTTCATAAATGCATATATTTTACACACACACACACATATATATTGCAGGTTCTAATGACAAAGAGCAGACTGAAAAGCTGCAGTGAGTAACTCTGGGCAGCCACTAATGCCAGAAAAGGTAATCCCAATAGCTGTTGCCAATCTCACATCTAATTATTTCCTGTATTTGTGACCAATCAAGATGCAGAAGCAACTCCTGCAAGCTAAAGAGTCTCTTTTCAAAGAAAACACACTGAATTTAAGGCTTAGAAATTTTGTTAGTGCCCATAGCAATTCAGAATGAACAATCTTTCTTATGAAGGGAGCAGCACAGGTGGAACTCCAAGCTTTAAACTGCAATTTAACTACTCTTGCCACTGCCTGTCTGAACCAAGATCAAAATAACTCCTGTTCTGAGCATCAGAAATTACTGAAGGACTTTGACAATCACCTGATTCACAAAAGCATAAAATAATAAGCTTCCCTAACAATCTGCTGAATAAATGCCAAGTTTGCTTTTTTATTTGTTTCAGTTTTTTTTTTTTTACAACCACAGATTAAAGATTTGTCACATGCAACCAGAGTCATGTCTTCCTACTGCTAGACCAACTCTGCAAAAACCTCTTCTAAGATGATACCATCTACCCCACTCCAACATGTTCCTGTGAACAGACTTCTGAATGCCTTGCTTTGCAGTTCTCCTAAATGCATATTTTCAATTTTACACATCAAAGAAAGGACAACTGCTTTGAGAAACTAAAATGGTGGCAGTTACAAGATGTTTATAGAAACTCCGTTCTTTGGATGATGCAAAGAACGGAGTTTCTATAAAATCATCTCATTACCCTGTCCTAGGGCACTAATTCAAGATGAAGAATCTTAGGCTATGTATGAAGATCAAGTATGAACTAGCACTTTAAAATGTATCACCAGCTAAATTAGTCTGGCATCTCAAATCCAGATTTCAACACACTTCATAGAATCATAGAATTGTTTGGGTTGGAAGGGGCCTTTGAAGATCATCTAGGTCCAACCCCCCTGCCATGGGCAGGGACACCTTCCACTAGAACCAGGTTGCTCAAAGCCCCATCCAACCTGGCTTTGAACACTACCAGGGAGGGAGCATCCACAGCTTCTCTGGGCAACCTGTGCCAGTGCCTTACCACCCTCACAGAAAAGAATTTCTTCCTGATTTCTAATCTAAATCTACTCTCATTCAGCTTGAAGCCATTATTTCTTGTCCTATCACTACAAGACCTTGTAAAAAAACATATCTCCAGCTTTCTCATAGGCCCCCTTCAGGTACTGAAACACTGCTACAAGGTCTCCCCAGAGCCTTCTCTTCTCCAGGATGAACAACCCCAACTCTTTCACCCTTTCCTCATACCAGAGGTGTTCCAGCCCTCTGATCATTTTTGTGGCCCTCCTCTGGAGCCGCTCAAACAGGTCCGTGTCTTGCTTGTGCTGAGGGCTCCAGGGCTGAACACAGGATTCCAGGAGGGTTCTCACCAGAGCTGAGTAGAGGGGCCCTCAACCTGCTGGCCATGGTTCTTTTGATGCAGCCCAGGACACAGTTGGTACTTCAAGCATAGACTCCTGACATCTTTGTTGGAACCTTGTTCTCAAATCACAGAAATCGTTATTGCTCTAGCATGCAATAACAGGTCTTTGAGAATCTCAGAGGAAGCCCTACAGCATCCAGGAGAATCTGAGCAAAACCCACTACAACCAGAAAAGCAATACAACAGGCTGATGTCTGCTCCTTCCAAATCTTGGAACTAACAGAAGGAACTAACCAGGTAGAACTGACATACCATATCCTTCTGATGACACTGTTTATCTGCTAACCAGACATCAGCATTTCACATTGAAGAAAAAACAGCTCCTCCAGCTTAAAGGAACTAGTCCCACTGAACTTAATCCTGTCCTCTACAAGACTGTCTAAAGCTATTCTTATGAGTTACATCTTTCAGCATCCTGTTGCTGAACTAGTGAATATGCTCATAGGAGGGACTTCTACACTAATTGCATAATCTTCAAAAATTGAAAGGCTTTTTTTCATCCCTGTATTTTTTTGTCTGATTTCTGGATTAAGTAGTCATCTTTCAAAGTCTTCTTCCAAGGCTTAACCAAAACTTTAGAGAAAGCTGTGATCATGCTAAAAAAGGATTGCAAAAAAGATTAAGAACTTGTGCATGTAGATCATAAGCATGTTTGAGGAAAAAAACTCTACAGCAGCTGATGCTAACTTAAGTCAAAAAACATCTGTGCCCAGTCTTTACCAAAACACTTGTTCCCATCTCCTTCACAGTACTGGCACTGAACCTCATGGAGTTAGACACCTGAACCTTGGAAAAGTTTTTTGTACTAGGACACAAGTGGCAACAGAACTAAACTAATAACAGAATTCTAGACATTATCTACATACACTTAACAGCTACTTTTAGATACTACAAGAATATGTGATTAAGTCTAGGTCTAAGGATGCTGTATTTGCAAGATCTGACTCAAAGAGCCATCCTGCAAGTGCTATACAATTTTCCTGCTAGTTCCATCAGGCAAGTTCTGAATCTCTGTGGTAGCTGCCAGAAAAGATCCCTACAGGACACAGTGGTCAGATAACTTCAAGTTATTGTCAGCTTTCATTTCCCCTGCCAAAACACTTTCTCTTCTCTACGAATTACATTATCTCAGCACATAGAGCCTCATTTAAAATTTAGTTCTTATCAACTCTTTGACAGCATATAACCGGATACCTTTCTTCTCAATTATAGTTCTTTGCTTCCGCAGTATTTATGCTAGGAGAAGTAGTTCAGAGCCCCCACTAGCTTTGCAATTTTTTTTCATCTCCGAAGAGTCACTGAAGAGAAGAAAAAATTCCAAAGCTTAACTATTAGCAGTGATTAAAACATTGTGCAGCGTATGTAATTTCTTCTCTTTCAGTCCTCAGCAGATAAGAAAGAACTGGAGTACAGTAAAGGCTTTTGACTCTAAAGAAATGTGGCTCATGCTGCTACTCAAATGCATCTCCAGACAAATAAGTACACAGTTACTGAAGGAAATCTCAACAGCACAATGAAAGTTCTGCAAAATTACACCTATGCCTAGCCAAGTGCAAGAGTCATGATGGACACAACCTCGGAGCTACAAACAAATCAGAGATGTGGTTAGACTGATGAATATCTTAGCTTGCAACCTGTTCTGGAGAACTATGAACATTCAGCATATTGAATATTTAGAAGGGTGCCAGACTTTAGCTCCTGATCCATGGTATTTGCTTTAAATGTGCTCTACATAAGCAGTCTACCCACAAGACGTGACAGTATGGAGTTTGAGTGCCAATTACATTCTAGAAATAGTAATGCTGAAGTCCAAATTAACTGAAAATTGACTGTTAAAAAGCTGATTTGGAATTTCAGCTACTTGTAACAGTCTAAACAGAATCCAAACTGAGTACTATAAAACTGGATTTTTTTTTTCAGGAGCTCAGGCAAAATTAATCTTGATTACTTTGAAGGTTACTGAATCAAAACTAAATCTTAAAAAAAATATTGTTAGTTTCAAAAGTACATGCAATTAGATCTGGCATTCTCTTACGGTCCCTGTGCAGCACAGAAGCCAGTTATGCAAACCAGACTCTTTCACCAACACCATAATACAGCTGCTCCCTTGCTACACATTCATGGATATACACTGATGTTTCCTTGCAGTCTGTAGTGCAGTGCCCTGCAGGACAGGTACCTCATCTGAGGCATTTCTTTCCCACATGGTAAAATTTATCTGAAGCATGGCACCACAGACTGTGCCAGAAAAAGCTACACCCTCCATTCTCATTCTGTCATAATGAACAACAGTGAGCTGTTCCTACCAACAAACCCCTTTTCAGGATTTCCTGGATCTCTTTCTTTCACTACCCTTCAGCACTGTTAGAGAACCTTATCATAGAGTCACCACTGTTCTGAATCTCCAATGCATCATGTACCCGCACTGTTTGCGTGCAATCCAGTTCACTCCGACTGTGAATCCTGGGAGACTTCAGGCCCTCATCCCTTAGCTCCTCTCCGTAACTGCACCTCGACACCAGCAAAGTCTCTTCTCAGTGCAGCTTCTTAACCGATTTGACAGACTTTAGGGACTGTAATGTAAGCTGCGACAGCACAAGCTGAGCTAGAGCTCCAGAATATTACAAGAAGTATACAGTCTTACCAGGCAGGAGAGGATCTTCAATACATAGCATGGATGGTCTGTATCCATTAGTCATGACTTTCATGATTTCTTCTTTGGCAATATAGGCACCTCCATTTTTTATTCTAATACCAGTTTTCAAGTAGTTAAAATTCCTTCCATAGAGTTCAAAAAATTCTATCAGAAGCATTCCAAGATTTTCATCAGCTCTTCTGGCATCAATTCTTGGATGCAGCTGTAACACAGAGCAGTTGTTAATTATTAAGAATTAATGCTTTTCAGACCATAACAAAGTGCAACAAAAAGCTCTAATTTAAACGGCTGAGTATAATCTCTTTACACAAGCCTGAACTGAGCCATCAATTCATGTACTTAAACTACTTTCACACAACCAAGAGGGGGCAGCACTTCAGCAGCATCCAGAAGCCAAAGAATTCCTTCTTCCCTCCTCTTCCAGCTCTTTGAGGATTCGCAAATTTTTTCCCTGAGCCAAAAGCAATAAAGAAGAACTGCCTACTACGTTATGGCTTAGTTTGTAGTAACAGAGTAATATCTGATTTTTCACAGAAAATCCACCAGTCTTAACGATTTCATAAGCAGTGGGGAAATCTATTTACCCCAACTGAAATACAGTTATTTTCTCAGTCTCGCTGCATTATATATGGTATGTATAATCTAGAGTAATATTTAAACTAATCAACAACAACAGCAGGATATGTAGGTTTTTCCATTATCACAGCTGCTGAGAGACACTAACATTGTACCTCATCATATCCATACAAAGCTTACTGTCACAAAAATGTAGTGGAAGAAATTATAACTCATTAGTTATTTCACCAGTTACCTAAAGTATTTGCCAGTTTTATGTCAAAACCTAACCAACATATAATTAAAAAACAACTTGACTGTTTGATTTCACAATTTTAATAAACACTGAAATCAACTACTCTTCACAATCAGTATTAGTTGAAGAAGCAAGAGACTTAAAACTGCATTCTAGCAGATTTACAACATGCCGGTAAGGCGATTCAGGCACTGGAACAGGCTGCCCAGGAAGGCATCATAATTCATATCACAGGCCCTGGTATATAAAGCAATGCTCAGCCACCATGCTGTTCATAAGGCTCCTGCTCCTGTTTCAGTTCACACAGTGAACAGAAGTTCTTACAGATTTGAGAGGCAGTCTACAGGAGCTGCCAATGATCAAACACCTAGAGCCATAACAGTAACACTTTTCATATCTAGGGCAGTCTAAAGAAACAGCACCATAATAGGGCATAAGTAAAGAAAACAAAATATTTTAAAGAACACAGAAACAAGTAAGTAGCAGACTTACCTGCAGGAAACTAATTGCCATTAAAATTAGGCTGTAAGAGCTAATTCCACCAGTAAAAACTTCATTCAAGTCCCTCTGAAGGAGGAACTGTTTTAACACTAAAATCAAGTAAGGCAGCAAAGAATATTTCTGGAAAGCAAAATAAGTCTTATCAATGACATTGTCAAGATTCCAAAACAAAGAACTACACAATCTCAACACAACAAGATTCGTCTTCTAATACAAAAATGTTATTCGGTAGTGTTATCTAAAGTGTTTCCACAGGAAGGACTGAAACATGTAATTTTTTTTTTATTCTCGAAACAGATGAATAGACTTCAGCTGATTTGATCAAATATCTTACATACCAAATTTATTTCCTCCTAAACAGAAAGATTTTTATATGTTTCTTTGAATGTCAGTGTCACTCATTATAGTCAAAGCTTTCCATTTAAACAGTACTTTTACTGCAGATCATAAAAGTAAACTTGATTTTAAGTAAGTAGCTACAGAATTGGTTTTAGATATTGTTTAGCAAGACAGGAGTCATAATCAAGCATCATAAATTCAAGGTAAGGAAAACCTGAACAGACTTGCTTTAGAAGCAAAGTCTAGTACCTAACTGCAGGTCTAGATATGATTGAAGAAGTCCTTTCAGTGTACAGGTTTATCGACACAAACACCTAGCGCTCAAAGACAACACTGAATAGATACCAGTAGAAAATAAATTATCCACATTAAATTAGTATTAATGAAATAGTCTTCAGCAATAAATATTCCAAAGTCTTAAGCCATATCAAAAAAGTTAACTAAGCATCTAGCACACCCTTGGTAAGTAGTATAACATTCATTATATGGCTGATACCTTCATGTATTCCTTAATAAATCGAGCTGCCTTCACACCAGTTTCTACATTAAAACTGATGTCAACTTTCACTTCTGTCTCCTGGTCAGTAAGTTTTATTATCGGTACCTGAAAAGAACAAGGTTTGATGGATCACCAGAAATGCAACACTAATGCTATTCTCCAGCTTACTCAAGACACATGGATACTATCAGTCCAAATGAATGCAACTATCAAGACAAGAAAACATGTTTTTGAGAAAAGGTAACAATCCTAACTTGACTAACAAGTGAATATTTTTTAGTGAGGTGATTAAAAACACAAGCATGTATGATCATATTAACTTACAATCACTCATGTACTCTGATAGCTATTAGATATCTGCCTTCATGGCTGCAATATCACTGTTTTGTAAGACAACTAAATTTACTTAATTTAATGACTCACTGCTGTTAACAGGAGACACTCTACTCATAACCTGTGGGAACTGCATTCATCTGACCCAGCACTGCACCGTTCACTTGCTAAGCTGACAGAAGACTAGCCTAGCAGAAAAATAATAAAGCACTGTCTGTTGGTTTATGAAGCAGCACTGGTTCACTGCAGAGTTAAACAAAAGCCAGAACAGATAAAATCAAAGCAGGAGTAGCAGTACTTCTTCTGGCAGCAATAAATTATTATAGAACTACTGAATATGCAGTTCAGTCTCACACCACCACCCTGAAGGCAGTACCTTACAAAATGGCCTTACAATCATAACTTAAACTTCAGCTGATAATATTTATTTTAAATCGAACTTCTTGTATTTTAAAACTGAAACTGTAAACACAGAAGAGTAGCAGTATAGCATCATTTTATATCAACAGCAGAGGGAATGAAATAAGTGGCTAGTAAAATTGATAAGGCTAGCCTAGTGCCATTTTCCATCACTAACTAGTAGCACTTATTCTAAAAGTCCCCCTCATTCTCAGGTAAACCACAGATTAGCAGAGCTACTGTTATGTACTGCTACTCTAACAGATGTCATAGGAATCTTCTGGACTTGAAAGAGTCACCCTATTTCAGAGACCACAAAACATAACAGCTTGCTAACAGAAGTTTGGAATACTTTGCTTAGCCTCCTAGAGGAAACACCACTTACTCAGTAATACAAAATTCTCAAATGTTTTTAGCATATTCTGTGTGATCCATTTGACTTACAAGACACATGCACGAGATACTTCCGTTTCACAAATGAAATGCAGCTCTTCAGTAAAATATTTTAGTTTTTATATATAAATATATGTAAAATATATATATGCTACCAATATTTTACACATATTGGTAGCATATTTGGTTTTCCCTCCCTTTGGAAGGGAAAAACAAATGTCAGGTTTGGAACACTTCATTAGGCCATCAGAAACAAGATAACCTGAAAAGCAGGGGTTTCAAGCTACACAGCTCTAGTTATTGGCCCCCGGCTAAACAAAGTCCTCTCAAAGGTCAGTGGAAAAGTATTACACAAATAGTTAATTTATTCTACTAGATACTTTGCAAATATTGTCAGATCTTTATTGACAACATAAGCATGAAGTATGGCCTTCCAGCAAATACAGTACACAGAATTACCCTTGTCCATGTAAAAAACTGTGTGCTATTGCTAAGCACATACCCATTCTACCAAAGTCTTACACAGAGCAAAACATTGTGCTTAAGACAACATCATTTGCTTCATGAATTAAAAACGCTATTTATCACCAGCATCTTAAGGGGTCTGAAAGCTTTCCAGCTCAGCATTCCAAAGACAATTACTTACTGTAGCTTTATCAAGTACTTTAATGGAATATGGCTCAGCCACGTTGTGTTTTCTTAATGCTTGCTCCAGCAGCTGTAAAGGGGGACGTTCCCATTTCCCAAAAACAACTAGATCAATATCACTAGACAGAAGGAACACAACATGAGATCCATTAAGTCTAAAGCATAATACTCCACAAAACAGGGTAAAATTGGCATTTTACATATCACAAGTCCTCTAGGGTGACCATTTTGCAACTTCTAATCTAGGTTCCCAATAAGCTTCCATTAGCAATGTTAAGTAAAAGATGGTCTGGTGTGCTTTAGGACCCGAAGCAGTATTCTAGTTTCTTGCTTCCAGTTCTCTGATAAGTTCTTTGAGCTCCTCTCCCTTCTACCTTTCTTGTTCCCTCCCCTCTGACTTCCACAGCCCAATCCCATCCCTCATCTACCCATGTTGACAGGCATGTCAATAGTACAAACAATTTTTATCAGTAATTACTCATAGAAATGAAATTTCCACTGCTTTCCTACTGAAGATTTAATTGATGTAAGGACAACATAGTCTTTACAACACAGCTACACAGGTTTTCCACATCCATTTATTCAGCCATTAAGTGATCTAAGACACAAAATTAAATGAGACATTTTGCTCTCCAAAAAAAAAAAAAATCGAAAAACAAAGCTGCAATAACTCCTCTGACTTTGCACAGTAACTCTGTGATAAGTGACACACTCTCTGTAATTCACTTTATTTAACAAAACACAATCTTTACACAGTAAATACTAAGTATTCAATTCCACTGTATCTTGAAAACAAATAGCCAAAGATTAATACCAGACAGAATGAAGAAAAGTTAATTCACCATAGGATCAGTAAGTACCTAGAGCAGTACAATGTTACATAAAATATTTATCTCAAATAACTACATTCAAAAGCTCTTTCCTTTGTCACATGGAACATTAGGCAAAAATTTTACTGGAAGTTCGGCAGGTTTACACATTCCAGTCTAAACTCCCCTTCAAAATTCACCATTACGCTAAAATAAGATAAGCTTTTATAAAAAAGTAAATCATTACTTACCTAGTTGGAAGATAAAGCCCGGTACTAAAGCTGCCAAATATCTGGACCTGAAAAAAAACCCACACCAGTGAAATACCTTGTAATCACTTCATTTCACTTTCACAAGACTTGAGATTTTTCTGGACCTGTTAAGGATATAGCCCAGTTAAGTTATTTAATTTACTTTACTACATGTGCTGTTAAGCCTGCACAAATACACTTTCACTTACCGATGCAACTTTAGAGGAAACAATGTTTTTTTGTTTAACATGAAATGACTATGAATCCTGCTTTCAGCAGAGCATAAACTTTTGAAACAAGTCCTTTTCATTATTTATTTCCAGTTCAATAGAAGTACAAGCTGTTACAAATTTCCTTACTTCCTGCTCCCTTCTTTCCTCATAGGACAGCTTTACTGAAATTGGAAGAGTTTAAGGGAAATATTTCTCCAAATTTTTAGGTTTAAAAAACAGCAAGTGCACCTAAACATATAATTCAGAGAAACACAAATACTCCAGATTTTCCTGTAAGGATGACTGAAGTTGTGGTAGGTGTTTGTGTGTGGAAAAGAAGGTATGCTGAAGAGACATTCGTAGTCCACATCAAATACTTTTAGTATGCTTCCAATTTAGAGAACTGAGGTTTTCTTCCCCCCTCTGCTACAGCAGGGCAAAATTTGCAAGTTCACTTCTTTGAAGTGACCTATGAAAAGGCTGGGCAACACTGGACCACTTCATTGTTCATACCTGTTCTCACAAGCTAGAAAATTGTTATTACTGCACAAAATTGCAGATGAGGATGGAGTAGATGGACTTCACAGTATCTTTAGCTCAGCACTGTGGCCACAGCCCTCACTCTGTCACAGCAGGCTATGAAATCACATTTTTCTGAAACTTTTTTCTGCTTGTTAATGACAGTGCTAGTATCTGGTAATTAGAAACGTGATGCTAAAGTTTACATTAAATTCCTTCTGGATTTTTTCTGTTTGGAGGACACTTACTCTTCAAGTAATAAAGGGTTTGAAAATACAATAACTTTGGTTGCAAGATCTCAGAAAGTCAAGACCAATTTTCCCACTAATACAAGACTAAAGTAATTCCCCAAATGTCAAATCTGTGAAGAGTCAAAAAAACCCAACACTCTGGCGTTTTTAACTGTTCTTTTGCAAAATATTTGTGTTTACAAATATCCACAGGGTCAGGACTCCTTGCAGAAATGGATACACAGGTAGTCAGTCTCACTTGAATATTCAAAATGAAGTTATGCAGAGAATCACTTTCAAAAGTTTTTACTTCAAGAAACACACTTCCTAAAGTGAACACTTCTTCACATCCCCAGTTCTCAAAATGAAAAAAAAAATCACTAGCCCTCATTAATCTGAAATCTAGGTTTTCAATTTCCTCTGCTTTTTAAAATAAACTGCCAAGTACTACAAGAGCTATAATATTCAGTCAACTGCCTTAAGATTGAAGTCTTCTCTGTTCATTTCTAGAACACACAAAGATAACAGCAAGGTGAAGTGAGCCGAGCTGTGTAATTTACTAGCAAAGCAAATCAACATTTGAGTTACACTCACATCAGCTGTAGGCCAAAGATCTTTGATGACTGTTTCTATTCTTTTCACAACTTCTCTTCTCATAGCTGCTTCTTCAGGACGAGGGGACATGAAGTCATAGAAGTCAATTATTTCTTCATGTAGTCTAAGGAAGAAAGTAGCATCAGTTATAACTACAATTTAGCTATCATAATAAATTTCAAAAAACAACATGCCATAGGCTTTATTTTCATATCATCATTTAACCAAAACCAGCAGTTCTTTCAAGAAAGGTGAATGCCACAACAATTAGGCTTGCAGATGAGAAACTAGAGGGTTTGCAGCAGATATATTCAGACTTGATTTCCACAGCAGCACCTCACAGCAATCTCAAAAATACCTACACATCAGCCCTCAACACATTACCTAAAAGCTAAAGATGCCAAAAGACACGGGATGCAAACACTAGTAGACATCTATTAACCTTCTTACTGGCTCATCAGTGCAGGTCAAATTCAACTTCTGATTCCCAAAGATTATTTTCTTTAAAAAACAAACCATAGTCTTTAAAACTACACCATGATCCAAATGTGAAGCAGCACAAGAACAATTAAAAGCTTCAAGTAGGTTTATTCTTCCAGGGATTCTTACTTCTATGTACACGGAAGTTTACACAGACTTGGAAACAGGCCACAGGTATTAAGGAGTTTTTGTGGAGGGCAATACAAGGGATACTTGAGTATTCATTGATGTGAAAATGTCCACTTTGACAAACAGGAGTGCCTTTGACCACTCAAGCTCTTTATTAGTCTTTCACTCATACAGGACATGACCTTCCAACTGACCTACTCTAAGTGAGAAGTGTTAAATATATTCTCAAGTGTAAAGTGCATCAATACCAGTGCTACATGAGGAGTTCTGACTCTGGATCTTCATACACCTGTTCAGTCCTTTTGTTTCCCATCTCCCGATACTGCAGAACACTAGCTGCCAAATTTGAATGAAGCTCATTTTGAGTCTTCAGGTGAATGTCATGTTTGCTTTCAATGAAAAGGCATCAAGCCATGCCAAGTGAAAAAAAAAAAAAGAAATTTCTTACACAGGACAATAATAACTACCACTGGGATATTTTACAAAAATAATTTCTGATGTTGGCATATTTCTAAGATTCCTCTCTAATTTAAGACACATATCAAATCTGTTTGTCTTATCTTAAACTGGGCCTAGGTCCACAATTGAACATTTGATTACACAGCAGACTTTCCAACTAAACTTGTCAATTTGTTGATTAATCTACTTGATTTCAAAACTTCAGAGCAAGACAGACGGTACAAACTAACATACTCCTATTTTATTTTGCTTCTAGAAAGCATGATCTTCCCCCCCCCCCCCCCAAAATGAAAAGACCAATGAAGAAAATACTTGAATATACCTAACAGCAGTGGGGCCGAACTAAAAGCTTCCCACTTTCCTGCTTATAACAAGCAGCTGTAGGCAGATACAGGGTGAAAGAAAGAAAAGACAAAGCAGTTATCCAACACCCTTGCAGCAATCCTTCCAAGCCTCCAGTAATTGCGTTTGGCATACTTTTGGGTGGATCCCAACCATAACGCACATTAGCTCAAAGGACTTTCCTTCCACTGATTTTTCCAGCTCTTTTTAGTCCATTTATGCTTTTGTCATTCATGGCATTCTATGAGAATTTCACATCAGAATAAAGAAGTTGTTTATTTAAACTGCTGACTATTATTGATTTCATTTGATGCTCCTTTTCTTGGGGGAAAAAAGTTATTACTGGGAGTTCATCTCCAGACATAACACTTTTCAGGCTTTCAATTCATATCCACTTGTCTATCCAACAGCCCTTTTTCAAGCTAGCAATCCTCACCTGTTTTTCTCTCCTTATAGAGAAGCAGGTCCAAAGTTTGATCACTGCTAACATTCTTCAGCTTGTTTTCAGTTGCACCATGTTTTCTGACAGGTGGCCAGAAATGCACACAGGGTCATGACACAATTACACCATTCAGTCCATGACACACACCTGTTTTCATGTTCTTGTCCATGTTATGGCAGAGATTACTGCTACCTGCTATTTGAGGATATCTAAGCATGCAGCTGCTCTTTAAAAGAAATCATTATGAAGGAGCTTCAAGATGTCTTCCGAACAATAAGCACCAACACACAGCCCACCCAGTGGGTACATTCAGCCTGAATTATTTTTCTTCAGATTCATGATTCCGTATTTACTAGAATTTAATTTTATCAGCAACTTTTTAACCTAATGAACAATGAACTCCCACTGCGACTGTCTGCAGTCAGCTCTAGCTTTCTATTACCCTTTCTATGCTTTTCTCATTCATTCCTTCCCTCCAGGTATTTATGAGCATACCAGGTAACAGCCTTGAGTAATTCCACTGGCAACCTTCCCTTATTATAAAGTAAATAATTTATTTCTTCCTTTGGTTGCTTCTAAGCAATTAACCCAAAAGCCCAGCAAACCTGTGACTGCTCAGTTTTTACAAAGTCTTCAAAGAACAATCTCAGAAACAAGCTTCTGAAAAAAATCCAACAATTCTGTGTTAGACTGACCTCATGACTAAGGAGGATTAACAACAAATCTTTCAAGGAAATGAGACCTGAGAGACACAACTACCTTTACCAAAGCATGCACTAGCCACTTTCTTTATGTTTACTCACACAAAGCAGTTCTGTTTTGTTATGGCATCAACCCCATCCAACCAATCCAGGAGATCCAGACATTCCTGAAAAAAATGTGTTTACAGTAGCCATCCCGTATTAGGGAAGGAGGAGAATAAAAGGGGTCTCAGTTCCCCGGCACACTGCGGACTCTGCCATACACAGCTTAGCCTTTCAAAAGCAGCCCCTATCATGTCAGCAAAGGCAGAAAAACAGCGAGCACACAAGCACTCTCTCACTTCAGTGCCCCACTGAGCTTCTGCTCAGATGATTAACACTGTCACAATTCTTAATTACATCATGAAAGACTCAAAAGAATACCACCCATCACTAGTCTACATTTCCTTCCCTACATTTCCCTGAGCTATTTTGTAAGAAGCTAGCTTCATACTTTCTACCTTGAAAAGGGAAAAGACAGCACTTCATTTAATGCTTCAGTTTGCATGGGACAACAGCAAGAGAGCTAGATAATCAGAACTCATTTAAAGTTCAAACCATAGCCCATGGTTTCAAGGTTAAATTCCTCTGGAATTCTTCAGCATATACCACCAGACATAGCTGTACAACAGTATCATTCTGCTGACAGATTTAAACACTCCTTACTAAAATTTAAAATGACAGTTGTCTGGAGTCAAAGAAAGTTCTGGTGAGAAGTCTCTTCAACCCTTCTCTGACAAAAAGCAAGGCAACTAGTTCACTTAGTTTTCACTACATGACCAGACTTCTGGGTGCCCTTTCAGGTCTCTCTATGAGCCCTAGTGACTCTGGCAAGTTTCTTGCTTTTGATATGCAAGGTTTTCAGGTTTTAATTCACTTAGCAAACCAGTGATGAAACCTTCTGTCTTAAACTTCTATTTTGTTTACCCTTTCCATTTTTCCTTAATTCAACAGTTTCTAATTCTCAGAAAACGTCATCTTCCTGGTCTATGTCCTTCTGGGTAAGAATCAACGCTATCTTCACAGTCAGCGTATGACAACGTAACCCTCTTAATACAGCATTGTCAAGCATTTTACCCTTTTGGCTTCCACTTGAAGAAGCTTCTCAGAACGGAGATGCTTTTTTAAAGTTTACTATTACTGTGGTTTACATTTTTCTAAACATCTTTGCTCAGACAAGGGTACTGGAACACAATTACAAAAAATTATCGCTGATTTACATAAAACAAGATGCTGTATGCTGCTCAAGACTAATCTCAGAGTAACTTCTCTACTAGCCGAAGGAATAATTTGGTGTCTGAAAAAGCAGATCACAACAGGATATTCACCCAGCCAATACAGGGACAGTTTCCAGTGAAGTGTTTTGCTCATGTAGCTTCTATGATCTTCATAAGCACTTGTTACCTCTTAAGTCAGGACTATGACAGTTTCTTAATCATTAGGAACAGAATTTCAATTTAAAGCACATGATGTACATGCACATACAAGTACCATTGTAACATTTCTTAAAAAATAAACCTTCCTTCAACATGCAGCACAAGTCCATTTTTTCAATCTCCTTCTGGCTTCTTGAAGAGTTTGGGCTCCAGCAGCATCCCAGCACCTAGCTATCTTCTATCATATTTCAATATGCCTGTTAGACTACTTTCCTAGCAAAGACAGTCATTTTAATTTACTTTTTCACAAGACAGTTTCACTGTATTTATAGAAACACTGGCAACGAAACCTGTTGGTGAGATACAACTGTACTCTTCATGCAAGGTGGCAAAGACTAGAACGCAAGGATGCAGAAGAGAGGCTACTTGTAGTTGCTACACTATTCAGCAGGTTAATTTTAACAGCCTGGAGGAAACTACCATTCACTAATGCTGTTACTGCTAAACATCTGCTGCTTATAGGCTGAACTATGCAACAGAATTGACATTTTTTGTTTACCAAAAATTTATCCCTTTTACTGTTTCAGGAAAGACCGACAAATTTCTAGTCTTCAGGTTAAACTAATACTTAGGAGACATTCTCAAACTTTTCTAATGTTTTTCCTTACAGGCAGGTTTCTAAGAAAGGAGATAATTTACTTTACTCATGATTTACTGTATCTACAACTATTATTATATATAATATTGACTTGTTACCTCAAGGACTAACTTCAGTGCAGTGAAACGAAATTCTCAAGCAGCATCAACAAACTAGAAGGTGAACAAAAAGCTACAGAGATTTTGTTCCCTCAAGTAAGCACCCTGTTTCTTTTCAGCATCATGTCTACGCTACTAAACACATCATCTATTCTAAAGGAACAGACAGAAACATGACTGCATCATTTACATGGAACAACTGATTCTTTTTAATAACATACTCATTCAGTAAAGAATATTTTTTTAACTGGAAAGTCTAACATATCAGCCAAGAATCCTCACAAAAGGAAAGAACAGATGCCACAGTTAAAGCATGTGGGTGTAACACCAGGGGTGAGCAGGAAAGGGAGGTAAAGAAATGGGGAGGCATAGGCAGCAGTTCAACAGAAGCTTT